TTGTGTTAAAGTATTAGTTTAATTCGGTCTTGAAATTTTTCAATAAAAATATATTATTAAAATTGTTTTATAATAAACAAGACAATTTAGACCTTAAAAATGCCTAATAAAGATTTTTAAATTCTATTTGCAAATTTATTTTCAACGACTTCAAAACTTGGTCAAAATCACTTTGTAAAGTTATTGCGTTTATAGGTATAAAACCATTTTTTACTTTTTTATTTTCGTTGGAAACTAAAAACGGACAAATTTTCTTTATTGGACACTAATTCAGTTTATCTTGCTTTGGTAAAAGCATTCAGTTTGGAAATTAGGTCACGCTCCATATTAAAATGTTGAAGAGATAAAATGGCCAGCGAAATTGGTAGGCCAGGTGAATTTTGTTAAACACATAATAAATAATTTTGAGAACAAACCAAAAATCAGCTATAGGAAAATGAGTCACGTACTAATTTAAACACGTTGAAGAGCAAAAATGGCCTAGCGAAATTGGTGGAGGGTTTGATACTTCTTATATACTTCTACTTCCAGTATTTTTTTCAGTTACTTATACTGTCATATTATTGCTAAGGGCCAATTTCATAATCAAATTAAAGGAACCTTCAATATTAAAGGACACTTTAAATGTTATATCGATTTCATAATACAAATTTATTGAAAAAGTACACTTTAAAGCTTTATTTAACTAAATACCCGTTTCTGGTCCTTTATAATCTTTAAAGCAAGCTTTTTGACAGTTTATTATTTTGATCGAGTTTTAATGACATCGCGCCAGTTATTTGGTTTAATTTAATGTGAATAAACAAATAATATAACTTGTTTTTAAGTTGTCAAATTTTGATTTTAAATGTTCAGCAGTTCATATCAACCACCTGACTTATAGCATTGAAACCTAAAGTACGTAAATTTCATGCTTTTCTCTGAAAAAGGTTTTCATATTTTTCATAATCAAAAAATAGTATTCTAGCAATACCAACCTTTTTGACATTATTTATTATATCTGTTATTTTACATTCCAAAATATTTTTTTTATTTTTCGACTTTTTCAACAACAATAACTCTTCTTTGGTGAAATGGCAAGAACACTTTTTTTTTCAATATTTTTCATTATGATTTTAACATTATGCCACAGAACAAACTGTAAAAAAATACCACAAAATACTAAAATACTTGCAAACATATTTAAGCAAATTTCCAAATAGAACTTAACTGAAGCACAGTCGTTGAATAACTGATCTAAATTTTTATTTTTTACAAAGAAAATCTTTTTCACCATATGACACATTGACACATAGGTACTATAATTTCAGAAATCCCAAACTAAAATTTGAAATACATTAAATAAATTGATTTGTAATAATTAGATACCTAGTAGGTAGTCTAAGGTTCCTATTACTTTCAATAAAAGGGTCCTTAGAATTGTTAACAGGATTATCCTGTCCTTTGTCGTGCACTGCAAATATTATTAATTTCCAGAATAATACAATTTCAAATCATTTAATTTCTTTTTCAGCTAATTTTGAAAAACCCGAAGATACTTACAGGATATCTATCATCCAACCCTGTTTTTTACTAGCTTTTTCAGGGGACAATAACGATAACTAACACAAGACAAACGTATAAACCATTACAATTACTGACTTCAAGACATCCTTAATCCCTTAATTGTGCCTTTCTGGTAAGGAGTAAGGACTGCTATATTTAGCCAAATCAAAATTAGTAAGCAATAGAGCATATTATAGGTGAAGATTCCGATAGGAAGAGTGTTATGTTATTCTATGTTATATTGTATATATTTTAATATTTTAACAGATGAATAAATGTTTTAAATAAATAATAACTATCATCCAACAAATATCATGTAGAATAAATATTTATGCTTTAAAATAAACTATAAAACGTTTTTGAATCCAAAACCTAACATTTTATAGAAAAATTAAACAGTTTTGTGGCTAATATTCCGGTAAATGTTGCAATTAAACACGGATCAACAATACCAACATGGTAAAATTTTGTTAAGGCACGTTTTAGTAAAAATACGTTAGGAAAATCATTATGAAATTAATTTTTTTAAAGGAGACATTTAAGTGAACTTTAAATAGAAGCTCCCTTTGTTTAAATCCGCCTTTAGGGTTCGATTATGAAATTGGCCCTAAGTGCATTTCTAGTTTAATAAAGCCTAGTTTTTATAATGGTTCTCCATAGAATGAGTGCAGTATTTCTTGTAGAACTATTGCCCATTGGGATATTTAAGTAGTGCCAAATTTAATTGTATTTAAAATTGTGCGGGGTGGAATTCTATCGAATCATGAGAACCGATTCTACGAGGTCCCTACTATTTCATTTCTTATTTCTTAAAAGGTAACAGATACAAAATTTGTTTAAATTAGACAAATGTTGCACAGTTTTGTGCTCATTAAAATGGTATAAAAAGTCGTTTGATATTTACAGGGAGATTTAAAACAACGGAAAAAAGATGAAAATGCACGGAAAAAAAATTGTAGAACAAATTTCTACAATTATACATTTTTTCTCTACAATAAATAGTACATATAGGGACAGGGACAATTTGTAGTAAACATTTCCAAATATTTGTAGAGAATGTATTCTAGAGTTATTATCTACAATATTTAGTAAAAATATCAAAATCCATCCATAAGAATTGTTCTACAAATTGTTATAATTTTTGCTATTCATTGTATGAATTTATATTAAAAATGTATTGCGTTTTATGAAAATAAATACGAAAATTTTACACAATAAATAGTAAAAATTCATACAAATTGTAGTAATTTTTAATAAAATTTGTAGTATTTTATAATTATTATAATTATAATGTAGAAAAAAATGTTCCTTTATAAAATATTCAATTTATTGTTTTAATATAAAAGATACAAAGTCTTAATTACATTATGTAATAAATAACAGTAATAATAGTGCCCTCAGTCTCAGTTGGCTTTTCTGCACCTGAAAAATATGAAATAAAAATTAATGCCTATTGAACTGTTCATACCCTTAAAACGGGGATATTTATCACCTTTACACTGATTTGGATATTAAATGACTAAGTCAGATAACTAACAAAAATGAGAAAGTAGGTATGTCACAATTAAGACAAAAAACATCATTGAACTTATAACAATATTCTATCGTTGACCACAACTATTTTTTTTTTAAATATTCTACTAAGTTTATTTAAATTAGTTATCTAAAGGTAAATTATTCAGAAACAATAATAAATGTACTTACCACTAATATAAGTTATTATTAAAATTTTCTCAAACGCATCGGTGCTTATAATATAATAATGTGTTATAGGTACTCGTATATGTACCATGCTTTGTTTTGTGAACATGGCGAACGGCTACTGCTGTCTGGCCATTTATGATCGACGTCAGAAAACGTTGGCCAATAGCAGAATTCTGTTTTATTCACATGACTTAGAATTTCTACAATATTATTGAATATTTTTGAACAAAATTGAATTTTTTTCATAAGAAGGGATGTAAAGTATTACTATTTTTTGTAGAGAAAATTACTATTTTTTGTAGAGATAATTATTAATATTTGTACAAATATTTACAGAAGTTAGTAGTAGTAATTACGATAATTGTAATAAATTTCTACTTCTACAAACAATAGTAAAATATACTAAACATTGTAGACTTCTTTCCTATTGTTGTAGCATTTTATTCGACAATTCAATTGCTACAATAATGAACAGTTTTTAACTATAAATTGTAGTAAAATTTTCTACAAAAAGTTAAGTATTTTTCTACAAGTCTACTACTACAACATTGTAGTAAAATTTTCTAGTCACATTTTTTTCCGTGTGATCATTTCTTTAAATTAATTTATTTTTTGTCTGATATTTTGAAACTCCCTGTAAATATTAAAAGTTTCTTAGCACCATTTTAATTAGCACAATACTGCACAACTTTTGTCTAAATTAACCAACTTTTTATCCGTTACCGTTTAAGAAATAGTCCCTATGAAATAGTAGAGACCCTGTATATCTCTCTTTAATATTACTTTGGAAATTCGACAAATTAACGAAACATTCGAACCACTTCGAATTTGTAACTTCAAAGAAAAAAAACTTAATCGTATTTATGCCTATAATATCCATTATCTCAAGTTTTACTAACGTTAAATCGTATTTGGTTAGTCTTGAAATCATGGAGATAGAATAAAGTAGAGTTGACATAAACATTATTTTGCGATATAACGGAAAAGTGTAATGAAAATGGCAACTTAAGTGGTACTTTGATTTCTTTGAAGTCAATAATTTTATATTTAAAGACTGACGGAATGAAAATTATTTTATATTATTTAAATAAAACAACGGCATTTATTTTCTCCAAAAATGACTAGCCCCTCTATCTCGAGCTTGACATATGACGTAAAATAAAATTGTAATGCAAACTTTATGCTTGAAATGAATAATTTATTGTTTATGTTGATCATGGTAGAGTTTTTGTAAGTCAAATAAGCGCCACGGAAAATAAAAATAATAATTGTCATCACTGATGCACTCTCAGAACTTCAGGAGGTGACTCAAAATGAGGTAAATTATAAAGAGATTAATATTGTTATTATTAATATCGAGAAACATACTCATTATTAATTAAAGAAGCTGAGAGAAAGAAATGATCTTCCCGGACTTCCTGAAAATGGATTTAGAGATTTTTTTAGGCCCATAAAGAGTGTGTTTATATTTTGTTTCGGAATCCTTATATAGATATTCTAGCAAAACATTAGATAAAAGGCATCTAAAGTAGCTAAATTGTTTTCTGCTTTTCGACAATTCCGAGTTTAAAATCGAAATTTCGAGAATAAAGTCGAAAATTCCAAGTTTAATTTCTGAATTTTGTCGAAATTTCAAAAAATATATTTTGGCCCTTCCACGCCTATATCACTAGGTAACTATAAAATAAATTAGTAAGTAGAAAATGTAACATATGAAACTGGCGCAATGTTTCTTTGAAAAACTACATTATTTATGGTGAAACAGGTGGTCCAGGAATATTTTTTAACGCCGTTAATGGCCTCGCAACATCACTGTCATACGAGTTTCTGTGCTCATCCCCTATCGAAATCTCTGGCGTTAGCTCCCCACTTCCGTGGCTACAGCTTTGATAAAAACCCTTCGTAACGTTCGTTCCAACTGGAAACATATTTTGGTTCATGTTACCGTCCGCCAGGGTTGGAAACTCTTGAGTTTGAATGCCGAATTTTCCATCTTTTTTGGCTTTCATTCTTCGATTTTGGAACCAGATTTTTATTTGGCGTTCGGTTAGGCATAATGTATGGGCTATTTCGATTCGTCGACGTCTTGTGAGGTATTTGTTGAAATGGAATTCTTTTTCTAGCTCTAGAGTTTGGTAACGAGTGTATGTTTGGCGGGTGCGTTTGCTGCCTTTGGAACCTATGTCGCCTTTAAAGAAAAAAAAAGGAGATGTGAAATTCTACAAATTCCACTTAAGATTTAATTGGATTTTATAGGAAGATATTATACCGATATAAAAAATTATATAGTGGCTTATTTAAATTAAGGTGAAATCAAGGATTAAACCGTTGATGTACTATGGTGTTCAAGCAATCTGTATTTATTTGTGTACTATGCATACTATTTGTGTAATTAGTGTACTATTTTTTCTACTGTGTGTACTATATATGCAATATTTGTGTACTAATTTGTACTATTTGTGTACAATTTTGTATTAATTGCGTAGAGATGCCAGGAGAAAATAATAATTTTTTAGGAATACACAATCCTTTTTTGTATTATTTACGTATTACGTGTACTATTTGGGGCACAATATATAATAGTTTACAACATTTTCCCAGCGGTTTATTCCTCGGGTGAAATTCCTTTGAGATTAAAAATAATGAGAAGTAAATTAATGTAGTCAAATTTCCCCCAAAGAATAAAAGAAAACCACAAAATCTGTACCACATATAATTTAGTGCAATTTAGTAGTTGAAGTGACTAGTATCGGCCATCCTGGTTATCATCAGGCCTTAAATATACCTAATTACACATGTTGTAGAAATGAAGAATATTGAAGTTTAGTTACTTAGGTGTACTTACAAAAAGGTGTAAAAGTACTTTAAAAATTGTCAGAGAAAATTTTATCTTTTTGAACCCACACAATTTTTAATTGAACATTTTTATTACTGATGCTGCGAGATGAGAGAGAGGACTATATTATTTTATATACATATAATTTATCAACTACTCGCACTTGGTAGGTTTTATTTTTTGTCGCAGAATCCATTTCGAAATAATAAACTTTTTTTTCAATGAAATTGTTAATAAATGTAATTTTATGGAAGTGGCTAAAGTACGAACAATAAAAATTTAAATTTCACAGTCAACTCAAATTATATTTTTTCTTAGTATTACAGAGTCAGTTATATAACATTTTAAATTAAATTTGATCCACTAATAAATATTTAAAGTAAAGTTGTTTTCAAGAATTTTCCCAGTACTTATTTTTTTCATATTCATTTTTAACCAGTGCCGTTAATAATTATGACACTTTTTACTTGAAATTTCAATTGTATGACGATAAAAACTTGCAGCTTTCTAATCTTTACCATTATAAAGTTAATTATAAATAAATGGTATTAAAAACAAGTCACTATTTGGGTGAATATCAAAGAATTGCCACTTTTTATGCAACTACCCACTTACTCGGTTATTTTCATTTTTTAAATTTATTTTTTTTATAAGATTAAAGAAAAAGAGCTTAGGTATAAAGTCTGTAATATTATGTAAAAAAAAAAAAAATGAAAATTAACCTGTCAAAAAACTTAATATGTCGAAAATCTACCTCTCCTGGCATGTTACAACCACGTTTATTCTTTTAAAAAATTCTGCATAGCTAAGTATCAATTTAAGGATTCTATTTTATATGTTTTTTTAGTAACATAGATACTGTTTTTTTATATAAAAATATAAACAATTAAAACGCAGCTTTTCTACTTTCTTCACGGTTTTAACTTTTGTCACGAGTTTTTTCCTATCTCTCCTGGTCGGTATCTGAAAGCCCCACTTACAGTCATCGACGAGAAGTGTCGCTATGTTACTTTAGTTGCTAATCTGGTCTCGTACACACGTGTGTGCTGTGTTTTAAAAAAATGTTAAGAGTTTTGTAGAAAAAAATTAAAAACGTAAGTTTTTTGAAAAGTATACTTATTATATCTATCTCTCCTGTATTTGTTTACAACAATTTGTAAAAATAGAAGGTCAACAAAACGTTCCAATTTAATAGTTGAGGTTAGGTATCAATATAATCAATATAGTGTGCTGTTAGGTTTTACATTCATTTATAATTTCATAGAGAAAAACAACAAATATTATTATTTTCTATCTCTCCTGAATTTCTCACTCTCCTGGGTCACTTTAATGCCAGGAGTGATAAATGTCCCCAGGAGAAGTAGATAAGCACGTTTTAGGTAAAATGAGTGCATAATAAAAATACATATTTTTTTGAAAGGCAAACTAGTGAAGAAAAACTAAACAAGAAGCGAGAAGCCGAGAAATTAAGATATAACAGGATAAAAGATGATCCAGAAGAAAAGAAAAAGTGGAAACAAAAATACGAAAACCGCAAAAAGAAAAAACAGATCTTGCTTATAAATGAGCAATCGGAAAGACAACAGAGACATTCGCGTAAATTATGGAGAGAAAAGTTTAAGAAGTATTATGAGAAAATAAAAAAAGGAAGGGAAATAGAAGAAACAAAATGAGGAAAAAATAGATGGCAGTCAGACTGCTGGGAGATCGAAAAGATAAATCTGCAGCTTATAGAAACCTGACCAATTCTTTAATACAACTTAGAAAAATGTGTAGTATAGAAAATCGCTATAAAAAACGCGATACTTTAGGTTAAAACGTCAAAATCTTTCAGATTTAAATAATTCTAACAACTCAAATAAAAGTGATATTATCTTCAAAAAATCAGAAAATTATTAAACAAAAAACTTATATTTTCTGAGGCAAATTGCAAGCAGATGGAAATTAATTATAAACGGATTAATACAGAGAAAGAAAAACAGATAATAAAAACATGCATAAAAGGAAAGGTGTTCAAAATATACAAAATTCGCTTTAAATTCATCGTTAAAGAAGCTGCACAAAGATTTTGCGGATAGTACGAATGTTAAAATATCGAACACTACATTTGGCTGGTTAGGACCTTTTTGGATTAGACATCCCAACATTAATAAGCGAAACGCCTGTCTATGCAAAGTATGTGCAAATACTTTTCATAGTTCAAAAACTATAGATTTTTAAAAGTTACAAATTTTTCTACAAAGCAGCAACTTCTAACGTATCTTTGTTGCAATGAACAACATGATGTAGCATGTTTGCTAAGATCTTACAGAAATTGTTCTGAAACCTTTAGGCGACTTTATAATGAATTTGATTTTGACAATTTAACAAGCTATTTTCAATGGTTAACCAAAAAAGAAAACAGAGTTATTCGTGGCGTGTCTAAAGACGTACAACTAACGGTGATAAAAAATATTTCTTTTTCCATTGGAGAGTTGGTTCAGAAATTAGAATCAGTTAAAGAGCAATTTATGAAGTACGTAGGTCGTGTGAAACATCAGTTTCATGCAACACGTTTACTAAAGGAAAATTTACAAGAACAAGAAATTCTCATACATATCGACTTCAGTAAAAACTATACTGCGAAATACCCAGAAGAAGTGCAATCCGTCCACTTTGGTGCATTAAAAAAGCAGTTCACACTACACACAGGTTTCATTTATAGATACCGGAAAGCCGATCCGTTTTTGTACAATCTCTGATAATCTTCAGCACCACCCACCAGCACCACCCACCAGCCATCTGGGTTAACTTTTTGCTGTTGCTTACGGAAAAGACATTTGGAACGTTGCAGAATTCGAACAAATTTTAATAGAACATACTAAATCTATTAAAATGTTGAGAGTAACTATTGTTACGCAGCACCCTGCAGTAGCCTGCGGCTATTATAGGAAACGTACAGTTAGAAAAAGAAGTGGAATGTTACTTATCGCCCTACAGTGTGCTGCGGTCATCATAGGTAAAATTACAAGTAAAAGAAGATAGAATAGTTTCAGAAATGTCTGGAAATGTCATTACCCGTCAAGAATATTCTAGATGACAGTTCGAGAAGGTTCGAGAAGGGTCAAGCAAGCTATATAAGGATGATCCTGACGTCAGTTTTCAATTTTATGATAGACGTTACTTGTTAATGTTATCAGTTGTATAATTGTTGTTAAAGTTGAGTTGAAATAAATTGTGATACCAAAAACCAGCGTAAAATTGGTGACAGCGGTGGGATACAAAATAGAAGTTCATGATAAATACTAGGTCCACTGAGTACGAAGCAGACATGAATACTTCAGGCCCACCAGCATAGTTTTTGAAGATGGAAGAGGAAAAGGAAAGGCGTAGGAAGGAAGAGGAGGAAGAAAAGAAATGGCGTAGGAAGGAAGAGGAGGAGGAAAAAGAAGGGCATAAGAAGGAAGAAGAGGAGGAAAAGAAAAGGAGTAGGAAACAAGAAGAGGACGAAAAGGAAAGGCCTAGGAAGTAAGAAGAGGATGAAAAGGAAAGGCGTAGGAAGGACGAGGAAAAAGAGAAGGAGGAAAGGCGTAGGAAAGCTGGGGTAGAAATCATGAATGGATTGCAACAAATCCAGGAAAATTTCAAGCGAGAGGTTAGTCAGCTTAAAATTAGAGTAGATCTGTTAGAGCAACAACAAGAGCATCTAAAAGCTGATTTAGAACAGCAGCAAGAGCATTTAAAAACTAATTTAGAATAACAACGGGAGATTTTAAAACAACAGGAAAAGGCTAGAGTAGAGTTCGAAAGGCAAATTAGAACTGAACTGGTTGAGTTAGAAAGAAGAATTCGTAGCCAAGCTTCGATAAGTAACAAAGAAACTAAAAACACTACCTCATCTTCATCCATAACCGAACCAAGCCACATTCGAATCCCAGTTTTACAAAATTATACTAACAAGACCCTTAAACCACCCACGTTTGACGGTCAAACAACATGGGAAACATATCACAATTTGAAGCTGCAGCTAGAGCCAATGGCTGGACCGAGAAAGAGATGGCGGCTTCATTTATAGTGTCACTGCGAGGTCAGGGAGCAACCGTCTTACAGTTACTTTCTCAAGAGGAACCCAGTTATTCATCTCTCGCCCAAGCTTTGGAGACAAGATATGGCCAGCAGCACTTGAAACGGATATTTCAAAGTCAGCTAAAAATTCGTAGTCAAAAACATAATGAGAGTCTACAGGAATTCAGGGCCGACATAAGAAGATTGATTCATCTGGCCTATCCACAGGCGCCCAAAGATTTCCAAGAACAAATCGGAATAGAGACATTTATTGATGGATTACAAGATGCGGAAATGCAGCAAGTCCTACGTCTACAACATCACAAGACGCTGAGGGAGAAACTGATTGCAGCCCAGGAATATGAAGCGGTAAAACTCCTATCCAGATCTTCTCGCGCAAAAGTGAAGGAAATTAAATCCCAGGAAAGTGAGGAGGCCAATACTAATGCTATTCCTCAAATCTTAAATATCTTACGAAATATGCAACGAAAAATGGAAGCAGGAGATGCTTTAATTGCGGAAGAATCGGACATCTTCAAAGAACCTCTAGAAAACATGGCTCATTCTATAAATTCTCTGTTAAAAGGGGTTCGAAATTGCCGAATTCCCCTAACAGAGAATCGCTGAAATACCTCAAGGGCGTGGGATAAATAAAAACGATTTGATTGACAGAGTGTGAAGTTAGCTTTATTTTTTGTTGGAATGTTAACCTCCAATTGTCAGAGAAGATATGAAAAATATAAAATGTATTATAATATACCCAAAAATATTACTATATACAGGAAAAGAAAATATGTTAGAGGTAAATTATTTCCTATAATAAACAGACGAATGGTTCCCGGTTTACGTCAAGTACTTGTCGCTTACAGAATCCGGCAAGCCAGGTATGCAAATGTTTCTATATAACTATATATATAATGAAATAAATCCCCTAAAACCCCTAAAAACTACTTATAATTAATGACTGCACCTTATATAAAGTATATACAATCGCTACATTCGTAGGGAATGCCTCTAGACCGGTTGAGGTTATGTCGGAGCGCTAAATGGGGCTCAATTCGCAAAACTACTAAACCGTCTTACTTCAGAATCCGTGGTTTTGGTTTTGAAATAACCACACTTGGTGTCCAGATATCCTGCGACAGGTTATGAGGCTAGTTTGGCAGCAAACGGTAGCCTAACAAGAACTACCTTGTCTGTGGGCGATTTCTTTGCTAGCGGCAAAACGGCAACAGCTAATGGTCTGCTTATTTAATGCCTCAAAAGCCAGGAAACTTCTAGATTACAGTTCGAGAAGGTTCGAGAAGGGTCAAGCAAGCTATATAAGGATGATCCTGACGTCAGTTTTCAGTTTTATAATAGACGTTACTTGTTAATGTTATCAGTTGTATAATTGTTGTTAAAGTTGAGTTGAAATAAATTGTGATACCAAAAACCAGCGTGAAGAAATACAATCCGTAGAAAACTGATAAAAAAAACTAAGCCAGGAGAATGATGCAGCTATTTCTCTATTTTGAAGTCTCCAGCCACTGCAGCCGCAAGAAACAGGTAAAATATGATTAGATATTCTTAACTTTATGGGCTATATAGTTAGTTTTTGTTTATATTTTAAGCTTGAAGATTGAGTAAACTTCGAGTACCAAAAAAAATATATCCTGGCAAAGCCATAAATATTTGTAAAAAAATGTCACAGTATTCCGTAAGCAGCCATTAACAGAAAAGGATGGAATTGGCCCCATAAGCCGGAAATTTGCTCATTTGACAAAAGTGAAATTCATGGAGTGCTAAGTGAGCCTGCAGAAATAGGCAAGTGAAGAAGCACGCCCTTTTTCTGTAAAGAATTTGTTCTCACAGGCACCGACTTTTTATATTTTTAAGTTTCAACAAAGTAGTTTTGCGTTGTAAGCTGAATAAAATCTTTTAAATACTTTACACAATCATTTGTTTTTGCTGTGGAGTTTTTCTTTGAGCTAGGTATAATTGTTATACTTTACATACTTGCCAGTCATTTTTTTAGTTATAAAGAGAATTTTTATTTAATTTTGAATTTTTTTTACCTGCTTGTAGAATATTTTTTTGGTAAAAAAAATAAAACGGATTGTCGTTTTTGTGAGAATTTGAATTAGTTTTGGAAAAATAAATATTTTTTATTAGAGCTACATTTTTTTATTATTTAACATGCAAAAAACTCACTTTCCTGTCAAAATTTTTATCTTTCTGATTTTTTTTACTTAGAAATGTAGATTTCATTTGATTTTTGTTAGGAAAGTCTGAAGTTTAAAGATACATTTTTTTTTAAAACCTGTATGTTTCAATATTAAAATCTATCTCTCCTAGCACCTACTCACTCTCCTTGAAGACAAAAACTAAATGTCACTTTTACAGGTCGGTTTTTAAATAAACAGCGCTTCAGCAATTTTTCCTGGAATCTCTGGCGCCCCAGGAATATTTGACTTTTTTTTTTTTTAATTTTAGCCTTATATTTTTTTTTTAAATTCTACCTTGAAAAGTGGAAATTTTTTGATATCTACCCGTTTACAAACTTATTATTTGTTACCATTATTTAATAAAATAGTAAACGCGTGTTATAATTAAATTTCATTCACCCTAAAATTGAATTGCTCAATAATAAGGAGAAACTCGAGAGATGATAATGATTTCGAGAGAGAACATGTATAATAACTTTATAATTTGCTCGTTATAATATACCTACTCGTATAATCAATTATTTCATTCACATATTACTCAAATTATCAATATTTTTGGTAAACTTATTTTTTATTGATTCATCCATTTTAGACGCGAAATGATACTACACCTCGTTATTTTTAATAATAATAAACGGTGCTTACCATGAGAACTCTTCATCCAAGGAAAAAATTTTGCCTGAACAGCCGTTAAATTATCATTACCAGTTTTGTCCTCGGACATTCCGTCGTCATCTTTGTTAAAAACAGTCATGTCTCTATCATCGCCATCAAATTCACTGTCTTCTCTCGAATTGCTGTAGCCATCATCAAAATAATTTTTCTGATGACTATTATTTCCAGTTTTATGCAAATCGGTGTAATCATAAGCAATTTTCTTACCGCTGGGTTTTGTTAATAAGGCCCGTAAAGCCGGTGAGTCCTCCATTTTGATTGTTTTCTGTAACGAAAAGGAATATTTAAGTAGTCGTTTATTATAATCATTATTACATTAGCACAAAAAAATAATGGAAAATAAAATTCATTGTTACAATATAGATCAATTATAATTTTTTAGTGGACATGATTGCTTAATTATGTATTCGAAAATAACATAATACTTTTCTGGTTTTGACATGAAATTAAAATAGTTGCATTTGGTAAATTAAAATTATCGTATTTTCTTTTTATTATCAATATTCAGCTGGGTAACAATACTCGATTATTAGTCCGTATGTTATTACCCAACTAATAAAGTAGCTTTATAATTTTTAGTTTACAAGACTATTATATTTTATTGAAATTATATTGTTGTTTCTGGAATGCTAATTTGTTGCACTAAACTTGCAGGAACCACTATTTTGGTTTCTGAAATTAAATTGTTATGTGTATTAGTTTTTACAATATTCTTACAGCAAAATTATAAAACAGTTTTCACGTTAACTATAAAATTGTTATATAAACATTTATAGAACAATTATATACAACATTTCTGCTAATTAAATTAAATTGCTTTATAGTGATTCAATATTGTTGCTTTGGATTACCTTTAAAATTTTTTGGTTATACAAATACCACTGTTTCTTAATAACGCTTTAAAAAATAATTATATAAATATTAGCGTGAGAAAATTCCGCGTCAGTAGCAATTTCCTTGTGATGAAAACTCTAAAATAACTGTAATGTAGTGTCGAAAAACACTTATGCAAATCAGAAAACTATAGGTATAGAGCTATTTTAAATCAATAATTTTACTTAAGAATAGTATTATCCCTATTAATGTTAAAAATTGTCCAAAATAAAAAAATGCTGTTTTGTAACCTCAGAAAAAGGTATATTAAAGCTTCATTCTTTAAGAATATTAAATAATATAGATGGGGTGTTACATAAATCTCTAGAAATGAATATTTTTGAAACCGGATAATATTTTAAAATTAAACCTAATAAAAGTCATTTGGTCGTTAGGGGCGGGCGATTATCGAAAAAAATTATAAATTATTGAAAGTAATCGATTATTTTTTTCGTATTTCCATTTAAAATCGATTATTCAATTATCTTTGAAAAATCTAAAATAATCGATTAATTAAAAGACAGCTTAACCTATAAATCGGTATTTCCAAAAAATAAACGAATTATTAAATATTTTAAATAATCTATTATTATCAAATAATCTATGTTTGTTTGTATTTCCATTAAAATAGATTATTCGATAAACCTTGAAAAATCTAAAACAATCGATTATTCAAAAACAATCGATTAATTAAAATAATCGATTAATAAAAAATAATTGATTATTTAAACCGATAAATCGATATTAAAAAAAAAACCAAATTACCGATTATTTTAAATATTCGTTTATTTTGGATTAATCGATTATTATAAAAAAACCAATTTTTTCGTTTTTCCTTTAAAATCAATTATTCGATTATCTTCAAAATATCGAAAATAATCAATTATTCGAAAATAATCGCTAATAGAAAATAATCGATTAATCGAAAATTGGTTAATTAAGAAGCCGATTCTACGATAAATCAATTTTCCAAATCTATTTATTTTTTTCCGTATTTACTTTAAAATAAAGACAAATTGAAAATAATCGATTAATTAAAAAGTCGATTAACCGATATATCGAAATTTTAAAAAATAACCAAAATATCGATTATATAAAACAACCGATTATATTTGATTAATCGATTATTTCCTTTAAAATAAATTATTCCAAATCATTTGAAAAATCTAAAATAATCAATTAATCGCAAATATTATACTAATCGAAAACAATCGATTAATTTAAAAAGCCGAATAAACGATAAATCGATTTTTCCAAAAAAAATCGATTATTTTTGATTATTTTCAATTAATCGATTATTTTCAATGTCTATTTTCTTTTTGTAAGTCCTTTAAAATCGATTATTTCATTATCTTTGAAAAATCGAAAATAATCGATTAATCAAAAATAATCGATTAATCGAAAATATTCGATTAATTAAAAAAACCGATTAAAAGATAACTCGATTTTTCTAAAAAAAATCGAATATTTTCGATTAGTTTCAATCAATCGTATTTTCAATAAATCTTTTCTTTTTGTAAGTTATTTAAAATCGATTATTCCAATATCTTTAAAAAAACGGATATAATTTATTGAAAATAATCGATTAATTGTAACGGTTAAATCGTTTTTCATAAAAAAAAATAACAGAATAATCGTTTAATGGTCGCTTGCTTTTATCCGAGCAATTATCTCCCAAATTTAGAGATTCGGATTTTTTGATCCCGTTATATAGGTATAAGACCGCATTCGATTGCATAATAATTAATAATAATCAATTTTTTTTTTGAGTTGTTTAGGGGTTTATAGTGCAACATTTTATTAACAATGTGACTAATTCCCGTAACTTTAGTATATTTTTTTGCTTACACTAGATTATATTGTGCGTTTTACTTTGTTTTAAGACTTAAGATTCAAATGTCACTTCCGATTTGACCGCAAATAAGATGAACTTTGAAATTTTAATTAAGTCATCCTGTATTTTATCTAACATTCTTACAAAAATACCTTATAAAAATAAAATTTCGCCAGCAACTATGCTTCTTTACTTCTTATTTACCTACCAAAAAGAGCTAAAAACCACCTTTAGTAAATATTTTTATAAAACTACTTTTTAAAAATAAAATTTCGTTTTAACCAATGCCTATTTACTTTTTATCTAAATGAAATGTTCAAAATTTTGTCCTTTTGTAAATTTATGTAAGTATTATGAAATCTGTCTTCAGAAAAATATTTGATGCTTAATATTTTTTGAAACCCCTTAATGCGAATCTGAAGAATTTAGCACAAAGGATCATTATGTCAAAACGTTAATATAGTATATTACATTACGAGTGTGGAAAATCACTTTTCACACAAGTGATGTACAATATTTTTCCTACGACCACAAAATAATTTCATCAAAAAATGTAAAACCAGATTATTATAATAATTAAAATGTATTTAAAAAAATAATCAACAATAATCGTATTTATTAAATTTTCATAATTTCTAAACAAATAAAAAAAAATAAAAAAAAATAAAAAAAAATAAAAAAAAAATTCTGGCACAGCCAGGATTCGATCGCGGTCGTTGGACGGTCTCAAATTGCAAAGTTGATGCTCTAACCAACTGAGCTAACAGGCCTTACGGTAATTGATTGATCTAATCGCTTATGTGTTTAACCAGAATAAAAAGCAAATATATCTTAGTTATTTTAAAATTATTTTAAAAATAATTGTTAAAGATAAATATCTAGGATCTAATTTACAATTATTTAACAATCATATCGATTTTAGTATTAATATGGACATTACATAGATCAAAATAGAAATTATGTGTTTGACATTTTCTGACAGCTACTGCGGAAAGTAGCATATTCTCACTTGGGTGGAAAGTAAATTCTTATTCATACGCGTGTGATATAGGGCACTTTCCATAGGTCTATATAGTGTGATATGTGTCACTTTCCTAAGTGGTCGTAGGAAAAATATTTACCGCTGAAAACGAATATTTCTTATTTTTTGTAACATTGGCACTTATAAGTATACACAATTTTTTACGATACATCGTGGCATTTTCAACTTGAAATTGAATAACTAAAACACTTTAATTGTTAATAATACCAACCAATAATTCAAAAAACAGCGGTCCATCATGATTCACTCACGCGGAGACGATTGTAGAATAGAAACGTCGGGGCCTATTCGGTTGGCGTCGTGGAAATAATGATTTTTAATTGGTGAGTTACTTAAGGTTGGAATAAGGTTTGTTTTGGTTCACATTCTAGAATTGTTCCAGAACCATGCGCAGAACTAATGCGCAATCATCCTTAATTCTGAACAGTTCTGTAACCATCCCATTGTACTCGAAACCAAAACAGTGCCAGAACAGTTAAATGTCAAAAAGTAAATTAAAAATAAAAAAGAAGAAATAACACAGGGTCAGTGTCTAGGTAAGAAAGAGGCCACATAATATTGTAAAACGTGGATAAATTAAATAATTTATTCGTAAAAAATCTTATGACCCAACATCAACTAATCAACTCCTCCATTCTCATTAGTCATTCGAAATTTCCTTGTAAAAATTCCAACACAAAACATGGCCAGGATCTCAAAAACAAAACTACTTGCAAAAAAGCGCAAGCGCAAACATATCAATTCTGCATTACTGTTCGAGAATGGTTATGGAACCATTCCCAAGAAAAACCAAAACACAGAACTTACAGGTTCGGAACAGTTCTGGCGAAACCAAAACAGAAAATATCTACTGCTCATGCTCCAAAGGTTCTGGAAGAGTTCTAGAACAGTTACGAAAGTGAACCAAAACAAAGCTAACGACAACATGCGCTGTGTGCAATGTTACATCTTCGGTCTCTTTAATCTAAGATTGCAAACGATTTAGTAAGGTTATGTTATATTTTAAATTATACAGTGGAGTAATTTGAAACTATTATACAACAAACCATGGTAAACTTGTTTTGTAGAAATGGCTTATACAGCTTAATTATTGTATTACAGTTGTTTTTATTACAATAATATTTTATAAATATGATTGTCTTAAAATAACTTCCTAATACATTTAATTAGCCGCCATATTTAACAAAAATGTTAGACAGTTCTAAAGCTAAGTCTACTGTCGGTTTTACTAGTTTATAAGACAAAACCATTGTTAATCAAAGATTTTTTATCATTGTTAATATTAGCCTAATTTTATTACTTAAAAAATCTAATTGCATAAATTTAATCAAACTCGAGACGCTCAAAAATTTAGTACTTGTATGTACTGTATAATTAACAGTAATTCATCCAAAAACGACTTTATTGTGGGTCATGTATTATGTCTGAACCGCGTTATGGATATCTCTTAGGTAGATACTGCCATTTTACTACTATCGCCATGAATTAACCTTTTATGACAAATCTAGAATTAAGT